GCTGCTGAGCACATGTGTAGCCATCTGCATTTAACAAATTCACCAAACACTACAGGGGCAAGAACCTAAATCCATGGCGAATGGGTAAATGAGAAGGGTCCTTGCACCTTGGCCTCCAAACCATTTATACAAATGGAGAGTGGAAGATAATATGAATTTAATTCATAAATAACCAGAGAAAGGTTAATGGTGAACTGAACACAGTCCTTGGCGCGGGTAATGAAGGAATAGAAGCAGAATATGAGGACCCTGGGGCCAAGAATGAACGAGTGGAGACATATCATGAGATGAAAGGGGTGGAAGGAATAGGAGGGGGGAATGGCTAAAGAAATATTAATGAAGAATTGAATGAGCTGAAAACATAGAAATAGAAATCATAATCTGTTTTAAAAAATAATAACATAATTCTGTTAAAAAAAAACAATAAAGCTCTGATTCCAAATTAAAGCTGTGGTTATAACGTAAAAAAGCAAATGGCGAAGAACATAGATCAAAAACTAAAAACATATAATGATAATAAGTAATATCCCTATGGAGAAGACAGGTGGATGGAAATGATTATAAGACTAATCCTAAGAAAGCAATTTTATTCATAGTAATCTGTCCTCACTCTTCATTTTGTCTTGATTTCCTCATCACTTCCCTGTTCATTCTTACTTTCACTTCTCAAGCTCTTTTCCATATATTGAAGCTCATCACACACATTCACCACACACCGACACACCACACAAACACACAAACCGCACACACACACACACCACACACACACACCACACACACACACACACACACACACACACACAGCAGACACACACACACACCACACACACACCAAACACGTGCCCACTAAACCAGCACACCCAAGTGCACTCCCCCGATCTACACCACCCATGCGCCCTTGCACCCACATCCATGCACACATATCTATTGTGTTCTCAACTGCAAAGACAGGTGGGTAAAATTTGACTCTTTTGGGCAGGGGAGGGGGGATGGGGGGGGGGGGGATTCCTCACTTATCACATTAGGCTGTCCATTAACTGCACCAAAAGCTGTGGGGAGAATCCAATAAAATTTGGGGTTACTTATTTCTTAAAAAAAAAAAAAAACAATCAAGAAAAAAGGTTTCTGACAGACCTACATTTCAATCTAAAACACAATACCAACTTGGTGGAAACCTATATCTCCTACATATATAAAAAATATATATTATGTATATATGTAATTGTATATATATGGTATATATAATATACATATATATATATTATAGTAATATATATTATATATATATATATATTATATATATATAGATTGTATATCTATGTATACCATATGTATACATATTTATATCATCATGTATATATATGTATTATATGGGTATATAATGGATACTATGTATACATTGTATACATTAGGTTATATATATGTATATATATCCTATATCCTCTACCTCTCTCTATATCTATCTATTCGACTACTTCTCTATATTATGTATCTGTCTCCTGTCCTGTACTCTGTCGCCTGTCTCTGTATATGTCATCTGTTCTATGTCCTAGCGTAGGTGTATACATGTGTATCGTGGCTCGTGTCTCATTGTACTCATGTGTCTCTGTGTATCTGTGTTCTCTGTGTGCCTGTACTCTGGTCCTCTGTCTTCTGTCCTCTCTGTTTTCTCTGTCTACCTCTCTCTCTCTCTCTCTCTGTCTCTCTGTCTGTCTCTCATGTCTGTCTCTCTGTCTGTCTCCTCTTCTGTCCATATGTCTGTCTCTTGTCTCCTCTCTCTGTCCTCCTCCTCTGTGTCTCTCACTGTGTCTCTCTCTGTGTCCTCTGTGTCTCTCTGTGTCTCTCGGTGGCTCTCTGCTGTCTCTCTGTCTCTGTTCTCTGTCTCTCGCGCATCTCTCTCGCTTCATCTCTCTCTCTCCCTCTCTCTCTCTCTCATCTCTCTCGCCCCCCCCCCCCCCCACCCCCCCACCCCCCCCCCCCCACCCCCAAACCAATCAGCATCCACACACACACACCCAACACACACCCGCCACACACACCAACACACAACCCACGTCCTATAATATAAAACATATATATATAAACATATCATATATATATATATCTCTCTATACATGTTTTCTCTCTCTCTATATATATATATCTCTTATATCTCTCCTCTCTCTCTGTCTAATAGTATACCTCTCTATCTTCTCTTTCTCTCTCGTTCTACTCTTCTTCTCTCTCTCTATCCTCTATTATCTCCTCTCTCTCTCTCTCTGTCTCTCTCTCTCTCTTCTCTCCTCTCTCATCTCTCCTCTCTCTCTCCTCTGTCTCTCTGTCTATCTTTCTCTCTGTCTCTCTGTCTCTCTGTAATCTCTTCCTCTCTGTCTCGCGTCTCTCTGTCTCTCTGTCTCTCCCTGTATCTCTCGTCTCTCTGTCTCTCGGTCTCGCTGTCTCTCTAGTCTCTCTGTCTCTCTGTCTCCTCCTGTCTCTCTGTCTCTCTGTCTCTCTGTCCATCTCTGTCTTCTGTCTCTCTGTCTCTCTGTCTCTCTGTAACTAATATGTCTACTCTTCCTCCTCTCTCCGCTCCTATCTCCCTCCTCCCTCTCTCTGTCTGTCTCTCTTCTCTCTCTCTCTCTTCTCTCCTCTTTCTCTCTCTCTCTCTCCTCTACTCTATCCCCCCCTCTCTCTACTCTCTCTCCCCACCGTCTCTCTCTCTCTCTCCCCCCTCTCTCTCTCTCCCTCCCCCCCTCATCTCTCCTCTCTCCCCCACCCCCTCCTTCTCCCCCCCCCCCGCCCCCCCCTCTCTCTCTCTTCTCCTCTCTCGCGCTATTCTCTCTCTGCTCTCTCTCTGCTCTCTCTCCTCTCTCCTCTCTCTCTCTCTCTCTCTCTCATCTCCCTACTCTCTCTCTCTCTCATTATCTCCCTTCTCTTTCTATCTCTCTCATAGTATATCTATCTATCTCTCATATATCTATACCTATATCTAGTGTGGTTTGTGTGTGTACTCTCTCTCTACTGTAGTGTCTCTCTCTCTCTCCTCCTGTGTGTCTGTCTCTCTATCTCTGTGTGCTCTCTCTCTCTATAATGTGGTGTCTCTATATATATATATATAATCAATATATATATATATATAAATCATATATATCTAATATATACATCTTAATGTATATATATACATATCTATATATATATACATATATCCATATATCTATATAACATATATACCTATATACATATATCTATATATTATATGCTCTCTCTACGCGCCATCTCTTATCTCTCTCTCATATCTCCTCTCTCCCTATCTCCCTCTCTACCTTCTCCCTCTCTCTCTCTCATCTTATCTTCTACTCTCTCTCCTCTCTCTCTACTCTCTCTCTACTCTCTCACCTCTCTCCCCTCTCTCTCTCTTCTCTCTCTCCTCTCTCTCTCCTCTCTCTCTCTCTCTCTCTCCTCTTCTATCTCCCCCCTCTTCTCTCGTCTCTCTCTTACTGTGTTCTCTCTCTCATGTTTTTCTCTCTCTCTGCTTTTTTCTCTCTCTCTGTGTGTGCTGTGTGTGGTCGTGTTTGGTTGTGCTGTGTGTGTGTGTGTCTGTGTGTGTGTGGTGTTGTGTGTGGTGTGTGATGATGTGTGTCGTGGTCGTTTGTGGATGTGTGTGTGTGTGTGTGTTTCTCTCTCTGTGTTCTCTCATCTCTCTCCCTCTCTCCTCTCTCTCTCTCTCTCTCTATCCTCTCTCTCTCTCTCCTCTCTCTCTACTCTCCCTCTCCTTCTCCTCTCTCTCCCTCTCCCTTTCCCCCTTGTTTCCCCCCCCCGCGCCGCCTCATTGGTTGCACTTTACTTACTGTCATATGAATCTTGTCAATCTCTGCACAACAATCCCATCCCACTGACCAGCTCCACTGGCAATGATATTCTGAAGGGGTTGCAAACACTTTAACAGCCGGCAAACTGAAACCGTTTATTAAAAATCCCATGGTAAGTAATATAGCATAGCAAAATACCATAATTTCAAACATCTATATCAACTATGCAATGAGTCAAGAGAAACTGATGATTCCGATATAAAACCTTGATAACCGATTATACTAAACACAGTTCTATAATGTATACGATATAACTTGGATATCTTATGACAGCAAATCATAAGAGGGGAAATCTACCAGGAATAACCGAAAATTGCAAAATTCACAAAGAATCTGAAGAAACCTAGGATTTCAACAAAATTTCTCCCAACAACTTCACCTTAACAACATAGCGCTTATGAAATGCTAATATGTTAATTGAAACAAAATTCAGAGTCACATTCTGAACAGCTTTTTCCTTTCTTGCATTCCATTTCTTAGTTTCCTCTCCTTTTACTCTTCTGCTTCATTTCCTATTCACAATATCAACATTACATTATAATGCTAAGACACCCATTTTCATTAATCAGTCACATAGACAATTTCATTTCAAAAGGAGATAAGCTCACAAAGGCCACAAACAAGGTCACAAAAAAATTTAGCATACAAACAATAACACCCACACACACACACACACACACACACACACACACACACACACAACACCCACCACACACCACACACACACACATACAAACACACCACATACAACACACCACACAACACCACACACACACACACACACACTACACACAACACACGCACCACACACACACACGCACCACTACGCACACACACTCACACACACTCACCACGCCACCACACACACCACACACCACCCACACACATACACACACACACACACACCACACACAACACACACACACCCACACACACCCACACACTCTCTCTCCTCAGCTCTCTCTCTCACACTCCCTCTAACACAATATAAAATTGTCACAAACGACCAAAAAAAAATCAGTATTATAAAGAAACAATAATAACCCCCCCGACAAAAAAAATATATATATAAACAAATAAATAAATACATAAATAAATATAAATAAAAATAAGAAATAAATAATAGAACTAAGAATAAATAAATACATAAATCAACTACAAATAATCAACCCCCCCTACCTCGCCTTCCCCCTCCCTCCCTCCCTCCATCGCCCTCCCCCACCCCATCCCTCCATAGCCCTCCACTCCCTCCTAACCTACCTAGCCATCCCCCTACCTCACCCCTCCCTCGCATTACACCCTCCCTCACCTCCCTAAATACAAATAGATACGACCCCACCTGGCGCGGCTGCAGCGCTTCCCCAAGACTGGTCCGCCATTCATGAGGTCAACACCTCTCAAGGGTTGAGAAGTTGCTTGACACGCGCAAAACTCACAGCCCTGTTGTCGCCTGACTTGCTGTTTCACAAACAACAGCAGAGGAGAGCATCCCTGGGCCGTGTCGCTTCCCACGACTCTCTGTGCCTGATGGGGTGGGGGGGGGGCGTGGGTCAGGTTAGCAGGTCATCTTTTATTAAAATGTTATAAGATTTTAATAGTCCATTTCTCATGAAGAAAATGGATTTACCCTCATGCAAGCCCCAAGTAACTATGTATATGCACATATGTAGTGGGTGTGGTTGTGGCTGTAAATGCAGTTAGAGGGAATGAGTGAAAATGAGTGATCGGAAAGTAAGGCGAAAGATGAAAAGTGAGAGAGAGGAGCGTTGAGCGATAACAGCAGCAGCGCGAGAGCGAGAGCTCGAGATATAGAGAGAGAGAGCGATAGAGAGAGATAGATCTAGAGAGCCGCGTGAGAGGGCGAGTTCTAGTTATCGAGCGATGCATGCAGCAGCGCGAGAAAAGAGAGAGAGCAAGCAGCGCTGAGCGTAGCGACTCTCGAGAGAGTAGAGAAGAGAGAGAGAGAGTCGCTCCGCTCTCTCTCTCCTCTCTCTCTCTCTCTCTTCTCTCCTCATCTCTCTTTTCTTTCTTGCTATCTTTCTTTCTTTCTCTTTGTGTCATGCTACGCTCTTTTCTCTTTTTTTTCTCTTCTTTCTTCTTTCTTCTCCTTTCTCTTTCTCTTTCTCTTTCTCTCGCTCCTCTCCTCCTCTCTTTCTTTTCTGTCCTCGCTCTCTCGCTCTCTCTTCTCTCTCTCTCTCTCTCTCTCCTCTCGCCTCTCTCTCTCTTCTCTCTCTCCCCCCCTCCCCCCCCCAACCCACCACCGCCCCCCCCCCCCTCTCTCCTCTCTCTCTCTCTCTCCTCTCTCTCTCTCCTCCTCCTTCTCTCTCTCTCTTTCTCTCTCTCTCCCGCTCCTCCCTACTCTCTGCTCTCTCTCTCTCTGGGCCCTCCTCTCCATCTCCCTCTTCCCTCTACGTCCCTCTCCCCTACGGCGTCTCCCTGCGCCTCCCTCCCTCTCCCTCCTCCCTCCCTCCCCTCCCCTCCCTCTCTTTCAAAATACTGCATCATCCCTCGCTCTCTCTCCGTACTCCATCTCCGTCGCTACTGCTTCTCATCTCTCTCTCGCTCTGCTCTTCTCTCTATCTCTCTCTCTCTCTGCCCCTACTCGTCGCTATACTACTTTCATCCTCTTCGTTGGTCCCTCTCTCAGTCTAGTGTCGGTCTCATCTCTCTCTCTCCCATACTCCCTCTCCCTCTCCTCTCTCTCTCTCTCATCATCTCTCTCTCTGCACATCATCATCGCTCTCTGCATCAGGCTCTCTGCTCTTCTCTCTCGTACTCTCATGCCTTAGGGGGGGTCGGGGGGATGTCGTCTCTCTCTCTCTCTCTCTCTCTCTCTCTCTCTCTCTCTCACTTTCATTTTCACCTTTACTTTCACTATCACTTATTTTCACTCATTCCCTCTAACTCACTTACAGTACACACACACACATACATATGTGCATATACATATTTATTGTGGTGCATGAGGTAAATCCATTTTCTCTCATGAGAAATGGACTATTGAAATCTTATAACTTTAAAAGATGTGACCTGCTTAACCTGACCCGCCCCCCCACCCCCATCAGGCACAGACGAGTCGTGGGAAGCGACACGGCCCCAGGGATGCTCTCCCCTGCTGGTGTTTGTGAACAGCAAGTCAGGCGACAACCAGGGCGTGAGGTTTCTGCGGCGTTTCAAGCAACTTCTCAACCCTGCGCAGGTGTTTGACCTCATGAATGGCGGACCAGTTCTTGGGTAAGCGCTTCAGCAGCACCTTTGGGGTCTTATCTATTTTTATTTCTATTTATATATTTATTTGTAATTCTATTTATTTGTTTATTTATTTTTATTTCTATTTATTTATTTATTTATTTTTATTTCTATTTATTTATATTTTTATTTTTATTTCTATTTATATATTTATTTATTTTTAATTCTATTTATTTGTTTATTTATTTTTATTTTTATTTATTTATTTATTTATTCTTATTTCTATTTATTTATATTTTTATTTTTATTTCTATTTATTTATTTATTTATTTATTTGTTTATATATATATATTTTTTTGTCGGGGGGTTATTATTGTTTCTTTATAATACTGATTTTTTTTTGTGACAATTTTTATATGTGTTAGAGTGAGTGTGAGAGAGAGATGAGAGAGCGAGTGTGTGT